AGACCGTTTTCAGAGCAGAAACGACCACATCGTTCAGGTAAACGTCTTTTTTGTTCACAGATTATTCATTTTTCCCTCTTACTGTCAAAAACATTAATTATTAGTGATCCCCGCATAATAACTCTCATATTTATTTATACACATGCATTATATCATATTTAACAAGGAACTGGATTGGAAATAGTAGATGAACAGGGCATTTACTGGACAAATCAGCTTCAAAAAAGCAAGTTTGAAAGCTAAACAACTTAACTGACCTTAACTCAAACAAGATAAGGAGAATTTAACTCAGATTAGAGCAGTTTTATTTTTTTAGATTTATGACATCATATAATTTACCATGCCATTATAAAGTCTGACAGGCTTTAGACATTAACAGCTGTACTGTAGCAAATGTTTTGCTCTGATTTATCAAAATGTGTATCAACAGGTCACGAGGATGCAACCGAGGACTTTGGCATCTACGAGTTCGTCTCCATACCTGGGAAGACGGAATCTACACAGGTATTTTCACAACCAACGAAGCAGCAACACTAATTTTGTCCAAAATCCTTTGTTTTTATAATGCTTTTAATTTGCACGTACGACTAATCCACCAGGCATCGTGCAGATCTTTGGCTCGTCTCGAATCGATTCAAGATATGCATACTACTATCTACGATGTGATCAGACACGTTCCTGAAACTCCGAGTCACAGTTTGCTGAAGTAAAGTCTGGCTGGAGAGCGGAGATGGAACTTTAAATGGTTTAACTTGAAGACTTCATGTTGTAGCTTTATTCTCTTAAGTCTCTGTTATCAAAGCCTGAAGCACTGGTTTTGGTGGCCTGGTTTTTTGCACAAGGGATGAAGGAGACTTGTGGGATTACACAACCTGATAGTGCACTGCTGTTGACGAGAGTTTTGGACGGATGTTAAGTGTATTTTGCTGACATTGGTGTGAAATGAAAATGTATGTTCAGCTCATTTTTATTTTTTCTGTGAAAGCATAACTGAAGTTAAAAACCTTTTGTTTTCTGTTTTAAGGTGAAGATTATATAAAACTAAGCAAATTAGAAGTATTCAGTTTTACCTTATTTTGAAGATTTTCTGATGCATCCAAGGTGCCGAAATTGCCACATTCCTTGATTTATTATTTAAAATGTAGATGAAAAAAAACCCATGAATATTATCATTTTAATTTAGCGTTCCCTGCTGACAGAGTATATTTTGTGAGAAGTGTTATAATTAATGCAGTACGAAATATATATTCAGGTTAACTGTAAATATTGTACATGGATTATCCAGCAGATTCTTTATACATATTATTCTATTCCTATGTTTCACTCTAATCTATTTATTCCTATTAAAACTTTCAGCCCTGCTTCCCCAAATGTAGCATTTTCTCTCTTCTCATAATGGACACAATGAAATGCTCAATGAAAAGACAATGATAAGGAATTCGTAATTCATTATTGTACAGTTTGCATTCACATGTTTGTTTTGTACTTTATTAAAAATATAACTGTTTACTACTCTGGTCAATTGGAGTATGCGCTGTTTGCTGACATCAAACAAGGACAATGTACTCTAATCTGCGAATTCTGCAATTATGTCCGTATTTTTGCTTTAGTTTGCCTTTTTTTTTTGTAAAAAGGCAAAAGCAGTAATGGCTTGAAATGAACATTTGTTCTTTCACACTTCCTGGAAAAAAAGAATAGCTGAAGCCAGCAAAGCTGTCAGTTGTTCTGTTGCTTCACAGTCCGTCTTTGTCTGATGTCTTGGCTGTAATCTCTCTCCCCGCAAGAGTTGTGCTTGCAGTCCCAACACTGCTGCAGAGCGCTAGCTTCTTTCAGCCTCGCTGTATTGGTATGCTGTGTACCTGATAGAGATAGGCAGCGACAGACGGATGGTTCAGCATGTGGCGTAGTGCCCTCCACCTGCTCCCGCTGACACCTTGTCACGAGTAGATAGAAACGAGTGTGCGCTTGCTCCTGTTTGTGTGCGCGCGCATACATATATGTGTTGTGGACAGAAGAAGAAATACAGAAATACAAATAAAGGGGCAAGCGTGGAGAGAAAGTCAGAAGTAGAGTGATTCATTTAGAAAGCGGAGGCCAAATTTTTATATGCAGCTCATTAGAAATGCTCCAAGTTTGCCAACCTTGGAGAGTGAATCACGTAAAGGAACTATTATGCAGCTTATTATCACCACACTGTTGTATACTCATTATGTGGTACCATGCTGAGTGCATCTTTTCAGTGTGTGAAATGCTATAGCACAAAATGCTGGCTACTATAGTAAATTATTATCAAACTGTAGTTGTTTCTTTTTTATCCCATGAACATTAAGTCTAGAACTCCTGCTGAATTCTAAGGTGTGACATATCACGACGCTCTCCTGCATAACAACAAGTTGTTTATTAAATCTTGGTCTAATTTTAGCTGTTGAACTGACCAGCCGAGTGTGCTGTGTCTTTGTGGTGGCATCTCCGGGTAGGGGTTGCCATCTGTTCCGTCTCAGTGTATACTTAAAGGGAGGCTCCACACTGTGGATGACTGCCTGACAAACAACAGTGGAGTAAATTCACCTAAGGAGAGCGACCTCACCTTCATTTGACTGGGAAATAGCCTGAGGCATCATTAACCAGGAACTAGAGCTCACAGTGCCTGCTGTGTGCAGCACGCTGCCTCCTTTTAACCAAGCACAGCCCGACATAAAACCTAAGGGGGCAATTACAAAGCAAGCTGAATAGGTCTGTGTGTGCTGTTTTGGGAATGATTTGGAACAGTTTACAATGCAGAGCCTGGCATAACTGCTTGCTTGGCAGAGATGGACCTGCGTGGCACTGAATCTGTGGTGACAGCGGGCAAATTCTTGGTCATGAAAGGAAATTTGCTGCACTAAGGAAAGCCTGCTTTATTGTGTTAACCTGTATGTATATAATGTGTATAATACAGATATACAGACAGTGGCTGTAGAATTAAAAGGAAATTCTACTTTATTCTTAGGAATAAAACAAACCCTGGAGCTGTTCGGAAACCGGCCCATGTGTTGTACTGATAATAACTTCAACATTATCACACACCTTATATTTTATTCATTAATTGTTTTAATTGAATCATTAGCATAGAAACATGTGTATAGGTTGATATGTAAGGCGTGCACATTAGTGTGTAAAAGTCTTGATCCACCCAGTCCTTTTGAGCAATAGTTCTTCAGGCTTTCTGGGGGTCTTTCAAAGGATTTCTTTCGACATTGGCTGCTTTTTCACTCATTTGCCGTGTCGTCCTTCAACCATTTGTTTGCTTGTTAGGCCACTTAACACTGACCTATGATTAATTTATGATTCAGACATATTAAACTCAATAGATGAACCAGTGTTGTGTCTGCACATAGCACACAGCTTAGCTTAGAACAAGTAATTTTATCTTTAGGCACTTTGTTACTAGCAGACTAGGCTAAAAACATCATTTGCTCCCATTTCTTTTATTGAGTCCATTCAAAATGTCAAAGACAACACAGCTGACAGACATAAAGTAGTATTTTTGCACCAACAAGGTGATTCCCAAAGAACTGTCAGATGAAAATTCGGCACATCTTGATGATCTGCAATGAGAAAACTGAACAAGTGGAGGAAGTGGAAGGCCTAAAAATTGTTTGCAGCAGATGAACATTTGAAAATCATGTCAATAAAATAATTAAAAATAAAATCAGCAAAGACCTGACACAGGACCTGACAGTTGCTCTCTGGCTCTCAGAGATGGTCTCAGTGGAAGGGTGATCGTCAAGAAGCCATTCTTGAGGAAGTGCAACAAAGAGAAATGACTGAGGAATGCCAAATTACACAAGACCTGGACTGGAAATCAGTGGCAACAGGTTTTTATGGAGTGATGAATCCAAATCTGATCTTTATTCATATTGTTGTCAATATGTATGCAGGAGGTACCACAGTGAGTGTCCACAGCCATCTGTAACAAAAACAAGCAAGCAGGAGAGGGTCTGTCATGGTTTGAAGCATTATTTAAGGCCGTGGTGCTGTGGATCTTTGTCAAAATTGATGGAATTATGAACACAGAAAAGTACAGCCATTGATCTGCCGTGCAACATGGTGGAATGAAACACATTGGTGAAGATTTCATGTTTCAGCATGGCAAGTACCCCAAACACCCTGCTAGTGCAGTAAAAGCAAACCTGGAGAGAGAAACACACAGTGAAACACTATCAGTCACAAAAAGAGCTTTGAATGTCATTCAGACAGAGGACTATTCCTGATGACTACTTAAAGAAATGACAAGAAAGATTGCTTAAGAGAGTTCACAGTGTGTTGAAGAACAAATGTTTTAATACCAAATATTGACTTTGAGGCTTGTTTGAACTATATAAACCCTATTTTTGTCTTACATACTGGATTTCTATGTATGTTTGCACACGCCTCAATAAACTGCTGCACCTGTTTCCCAGTTTTCCAGCAAAATATAAATAAATGTGGTGTGACTCAAGATTTCTGCAAAGTATTGAATAAATCCATATACAGAGATTCAGCCTAAAGCCATGTAACAGAAAAATAAGCATATGTGTTGCCATGAACATTAATGATGGCTCAGTTTTATTCAAGTGTCCCATGGCAGCCTCATTTCAGTTTTAGGAAAAACAATACAGCCACTGTGGGTTTTTTTGTTTTTTTTAATTTGTTATCATTTGCACCCATATTTTCGTTATTTTTGGCACAAGGAGGCTAGATGACTGCTAATATCTCTGTTAGTTTACTACCATCCAGTGGCGTATGGCAGCAGTACATTACTGTAGAGTCAATCTTTGATGCCTTGTTTATATTTGATCATATTTTATTTTTTAATTTCATTTTCTCTGTTTATAACAACACGTACTTCGGATTTCATCCAGATGTTTTCATTTTTTATACATGTGAAAAGCCTGACAACAAGAGCACAAGCTCTGGCTCTTAAAAAATACATTTCCCAGAAGGCTTTGCAACGTTCTGGTTCCTGCCCTGCCAGTCACGTGAGACTCAACTATGGCTTCCTTCTCGTAGTGATGGAGGTGCACTGTTGACAACAAGACACAGTTGGAGCTTTACTCATTTTTTTTAGCCGCTGATACGACTTGGACTTACGATGCAGAAGATCAAGTCTCTTATGGCCCGTCAGGTGAGCACAGCAGGTGTACAGAAACTACGCTGCCGGCTGTTTGTCTCTGACGGGAGCCGGTAGTTAGCACGACAGCCTGCTAAGCTAACTGGCTAATTTGACAGCTCATCGTTTGGTTCATTAAGTGAAACGTTCAGCCAGACTAAGAGCTGTTTCAGTTGTTTCCCTCAGGCAAATAAGGCATGCACATAGCAATTTACCTCACGCCCCGGTAGTTGAGAGTTTAACACAATAACAATAACAACACAATAATGGGAACTGGGCGGATAGAAGGAAGTTCTCAGTCTGCACATGCAGTGGTGTTTGGCAATTGGTCAAAACTGAACACAACAGAGCATATCGCTTTCAGAAATCTGCCCCTCAGTTCCACTTTTTGCTGTATGCAGTAGTGTGCTGATGAAGTTCTGTGACAAGTTACAGATTAAAAATAAAAACACAAAGAGTTATGTTAAAGCTACCTGTTTTTTGTAGTTTTACTTTGGATTTTATTTTGGCAGGGCCTGAAAAGCCCCCAGGAGAGCATGGCAGACCTCAGTCCTGTGGAGAACCTGAGAATCCCGAGCAAGGTAAACTTCGACGACTTAGACTGCAGCTGTCTGTTTTGATGTGCTGTTTGATGCATGGACAGTGTTCATCATAAAATCAAAGTTTCTCCATCTACCACTTTGTGAGTAGATGCTTATCTTAATAGTTTTGCTGACAGCTTTTTAAAAGCTGCCATATTTTATTGTTTTCGAGTCACAGTGAATGCCATCAGGGAGGGATTGTTTTAGCACTGTTGTTGGACACAGCTGCAAGTTGTAACACAGACCCTGAGTGATGTCTTTGTCATTACCCAGAGTCAGCACTCATGTTAGTAGTAATGGCACCACAAGGCTGTCGGTATTACTAGAGATTTAATTTGTTAATCAATGTGTTGATGATTCATTAGCTATACACTGGATTTCATTTTTTGTGCTTTATCTAAACAGCAGTTGTTATATTATAGTTATGCACTACTGAAGGCTCCTGTTTATATCAGTTAAACAGACTTTATGTCAGTGCTCCTCACCTTACTCAATTTGTGATGCAGACACTGTTATAAGAGTATTTGAACATTTCTGGCATGACAGCGTTTCAAATTGCACTCAGTCATGCTTGGTCACAGGAAGCGTTTGTCACTATCCCCTTTGCACAAATTCAATTCGTCAAGTGTCGACGAAGCAAAAGGCAGAGCGGCTCTATTTCACATTTAGTTACTTACATTCATTCTTAGCATCACTGTGGCTTTTCACTGTAGTGATGACCTTCAATAAATGACTCTGAGTACAGTTTTGTTGCTGTATTTGTTCACAGCGCTGGGAGATATGAGCCAGGTCGACTGAGCAAGACGTTTAACCTTTCTGGGTTTTGAACACTTAGCGTTTACATTTTCTTTTTGTATGGTATGCTGTGCTGATGTAGCGTGTGCTTATTTTCTGCTCAGGCTAATGCTGTGCTGTGATAGATGAGACTAAAAAGAGAGTGCATTTTTGTCAGTTCACCAGTGGCGGTTAGGAAAGATTAAGCCGACTGAATTTTAAAATCTGCTTCCAGATTTTAAGTGTCTGATAAGCTCATACTTAGTGTGTGTGTGTGTGTGTGTGTGTAATATATATATGGGCTTATGCGTCTAATTGATTGAAAGCAGGCTGTGTCTTCAATAAAGATTTCAGGGTTTGTTTTTTTTTCTATGGGCACCTCTGTCTCCTGGCCTTGGTGTCAGGTGACATGGTCAAACTGGATATGCGGTAATCAAACACTTGTTTTGTTTTTTCCTTGCTTGTAACATTCTCGTTTGTCAGTGCTGGACTGAGGATTCTGTGCAAGACCTATCACACCTGCTTTATTTGCCTTGTGTGTTATGAAGCAGTAAGGATAATAAGACCGAAGTAATGGCTTCTGTGCATGTGTTCATGTGGATGTGTGAACTGTAAGCAGACAGTATGCCGCTGTCCATCACCTATTAAGTTGCTCTTGTGTGTGCACTGCAAATACCTGCCTGTTGTGTATTGAACATACACACAGGGCATCATTGTTTGTTGGCTTTATACTTTGGCTTCATTTACTTTGCTTTCATTAATGTGCTGGACCTCTCAGCTTACAGGAAAATAAGATGGGGCCACGACACAAGCCAGGCTTCATGTAAAAGTAGTCCTCCTTCATTACAGGAGAAATAGTCCTCTGCAGGAGTGAGACCGAGGTGCTATTATATGATCATTTTGAGAAATACTGAGATCATGATTATTTAACGCGTCATAACCCAATTAAAATTAAACTTCCTCCATTAACATGATACTTTTTTTTTTTTTTTTTTTAAATGACATCAGAAACAGCAGTATGCGACATTACGTGATGGCAGAGCTTCAGTTCATCCTTTGTCTTTTTTTTTTTTTTTTTTTTAAATAAATAGGACAGGGGGAATGAATGAGAGAAAGAGGGGGAGAGAAAGAAAGAAAACCAAAGGGGAGAAGAGACGGTGAGAAGGGGGGGGAAGAGAGAGAAAAAAAAAAGAACTCCTGGGTCACCTGTATGGAGAAAAAAACAAACAAACAAAAAAAACAAACAGAGGAGACAGCAAACAACAAAGAGTAACATAATAATAGAGAAAACAAAGCACCATCACAATAAACTAGCTAGTCATAGATATCAATATTTACTAAATAATAAACGATATTGTGCAGCACGCAAGATAGACAGCGCACAGTGTGCTTTGAGGCAGCAACCAAGAAAGCTTTAGTCCGCGTCTGTGAATACCCATGTGTGCATACCTGTGTGGATCAGCATGCTTGCATTCCAAAGGTTTCTCCATGTAATGATCTGCTAGGGAGTGTGGGGGGGCCACAGCCCCGTCCTCCAGGGTGTGAAGTGGGTATGGAGGAGATCAAAACTCCAGACATCCAGAGGCCCCCAGAACACAAGAGACCATGGAAGACCAACAGAGGGGCAGCCGTGCCACTGTTCCAGTAAGAGCTGAGGAGAGTCCCAGATGAGGGCTTGCCCAGCAGCCGCGGAGCAGAAGTCAGGGGGAGTTGCAGTGACGCGCCCGTGAGCTCCGCCGGCCCCCAGCTGTGCCTGAGTGACCGAGCCCCAGGCCGAGAGGCCGGGGGCACCCCACCTCCAAAGGGCCCGAGCGAGCCCCAGGCCCCGACAAGCGGCCGCCAAGGAGTGAGCCGGTGTGTACCCGGACGCCCACCCCCAGATACAAAGAACCACCAACACACCGACACCTGAGGGAGTCCGCCACCGGCAGGGGAAGTGGTGGTGGGTGGAGATAGGCCTCCAAACCTTGGAGGGCCTGAGGTGTCCCCAGAGAGGTGGCGTCTGATACCCAACCTGACATATAGACACAGACATACGGGCACACACAGACACAAACATCCATTCCCACCCTCATGCTCTCATATGCACTCACTCCACACTCAACCAACGTGGAGACAGACATAAAGAGACGCTGTACACACAATCACACTCCCCAAGCGTACTCTACAAACCGGGTCTAGGTACCCTTGCCCCTGGAGGGGGAATTGCACCCAGACCCAGGTGGTGTTACCCTTTTCCCTGCGGTGGGGAGAGGCAGACCACCCCGACTCCGCAGCAGCAGGGAGGCCCCACACTCCAGACCGCAGTCGGACGGCCAACTCCTCCTACTAGCCCTCCCGCTCCAGCAGGCCGCAGAGAATGGGGGTGGGAGAAGACTCCAAACCTCCCTCCACCCGCTCATTGTAGTGTTGATGCATATGTGTTCTAAGGTGCAATTAAAACCCAGGAGGGCATGGAGCTACCTGCCAAGGAGCAGCAGGTAAGCGCATAGTCCCTCCTGCTAGCCCTCAATGACTAAGTGTATTTAAAATTGAGAGGTGGGCAACGACGTCAGGGGTGAGGTATACACCCTGATGGTAATTTGGACTCCGTGATTGTGCCCACCCCCAAGATCCTATATGTATGTGTAATGAGAGTGTGAATAATGTGAATGTCTAAGTTGTGGGATAAAATTGAGGCAGAGGCAGCCAGAAGGGGACGGGGGGGGGGGGGGGGGGGTAGCCTCCTCTGCACCCTGGTGACATACCCCCACTCCAAGGCCCTGCATGTGTGAGTGGTTGTGGAGGAGCGGGAAGAGGGAGGCAGCTGGAGATGGGGAGGGAAGGAAGGGAGGGGCAGGTAACCCCTCCCTGGGGCCAGCTCCCCCGCTGACCCCAGTAGGCACTCCCACCCTTCGCGACCCGCCAGGGAAGGGGGGCCCAGGCCCATCAGACCGGGGCCCAGTGCAGTAGCGCCCTCCGGCTCCACAGAGCCCTGGACAGTCCACCCAACCCCACCACAGAGAAAACTGCACCCACCCCACCATCCACACATCTTCCAGACTACATAAGACGGTAAACGCCCAGGCTGAGATCTTCCTCCACCTCTCCTGTATCTCCCCCTCCTGCAGAGAGTTCCTGAAGAGAAGAAAGCTCCTGCAAGATGTGACCATCCCCCCCACCAGTTGAAGAGCCCCCCAGGCGGCTCGACGCACCGGCGGCACCCTGCTCCAGGGCCGGGCCCCCATGCACCCACCCGCCCACAACCCCGGCAACACACCAACCAGGACCCAAGCCCCCGAGGCCCGGCCCGGGCCCCAGCCCAGAGACGGAGCGCCCCCAGAACCTCACGCCCATCCCGGACCCACCCAGGGGCAGCCAGGTTGCCAGGTCAGTAACCCACGTCCGTCAGCACAGACCCTCCCCTAGCCCCGCTGCACGCAGCCGCGAGGAAACAGTCACCTGAGAGCCAACAGAGCCCCCAACCGGACGTGACCGCTACCCCGGGTTGAGCCCCCCAAGGAAGATGCCTCCGGGAACCCCCCGACGCCCTAAGCCTGTCCCTACCCCCTCACCAATCACAACAGTGAAGGCGGGACCAAACTATGACCCCCCACCCCCACTAGGTGATGGAGCTGATAAAAGGGGCCCAGAGCAATTGATCTAATGTGGTGGCAGAGGCTGTGTCAAGACTAATGTAATCTAATAGATAATTTCTATATTGGTTAGAATTAAGATTATTTTTATTTTTCCAGTTCATGAGGACTGTTTTCTTGGCTATGCATAGGGCAGTGAAGATCATATGGGCTATATTCTTTTCTGAAGTGACATTATCTAAGCTGCCCAGTAGACACACTAAGGGGGAAGTTGGAATGTTACATTTCAGACACTTTGATAAGTCTTCACATATCTCGCGCCAAAACTTTTGCACTGGTGGACAGAACCAAAGAGCGTGGATGTAATTGTCTGGTGTATTGCCTTGACAGTGTGAGCAGTTGTTGGAAGATGTAAAGCCCATCTTGAACATCCGATGACCTGTATAGTGCACTCTATGAAGTATTTTGTATTGTATTAATTGCAGACTGGGATTTTTAATTAATTTAAAAGTTTTTAAGCAAATCTGAGACCAGAAGTTTTGGTCTAGGTTGACTGATAAATCTGCTTCCCACTTTGCAGTAGGAAGGGATATTGATTCATCTAATTTAGAAAGTGTTCTGTATATTTTAGATAATAATTTGGGGGATTTA